CTAGAAACAAACATAAAAAGTTTATGGTTTTTAAAACAGAAAAACAAAGTGCCTTTGATTCATATTTACAGTGTTATTTACAGTATACAGCTCTGTTCTGTGCCACCTTCTCACCCATTGTAAACCTAAGTGCAGAATGAGGATAAAAGACGTTATCATTAAGACAAGATGTGTCAGTCTCTTAGAGCTATACAGTTGTCTGTACTTATGTGTATACATCTTATTCTTATTGCTTGTGCTGCGTCCCAACATTATCTCATACAATCAAAAGCAGAAGTGCGGTATGTGAGGGTGTCCATCTGGGGGATATCAGAGAATTGATAACACTTCAGGGGCATTTATACCGCTCCACACAAAGACAATCAAGCAGACAGACAGGCAGGGTGGAAGAAACAAAAGAATGTCTCACTCAGAGAACACACACACACACATAACAAACATCAAAAACATCTTAACTCGACCCTAATCGTTCTCATGTTCCATCCACCTTAGAGTACATATAGTACATAAGGGGAGCAGGATGTTAAACACATTTTATTATATAATGCAAACCAGGACAACTCCAAAAATAAATACAACCTCAAAATCACATTAATATTACAAATATGATTTAATGTTGTATTGGATTATATTAGACTGGAAAGGTGTAGTCAGAACTGATAATGGGTTGTGGAAGTGTTGTAATCCTCGAGTCCAGGATTTGGACTCAAGTCCGACTTGAGTCCTGATTTTCAGGACTTGTGACTCAAACACTGGTTGCATTTGGACTCGAAAGCTGGGGAGGAGGAGTGACTTTTTCGTTTTAGGCGTGTTTTTTGTAATAGGCTGTAATAATTTGGCACAAGATATTCACACTTCACTTCTTGTGTGCATGTGTGTGTGTGTGTGTGTGTGTGTGTGCTTATGAGTGCATTTGTTTGGCTCTTGTGTCCCACACATTAAGTAAACTCCTTCTAAAACTGTGAGAGCTGTGTCAGTTGTGTTTAATGTAGACCTTGATGACTGGGGACTCAACTCAGACTCAACTTGGACTTTATCGGTGACTCGGACATGAGTCAGACTCAGAACATGGGGACTTGAGACTCGACTGGTACTCGAGCTTTAATGACTGGACTACAACACTGGGTTATTGTTGAGTTGCCACTGAAGTGCACACATTCTTATACAGTAACTAGTTTCTTTTCAAAACCCCCATATTTTCTGTGGACAGAGACATAAACCTATTTACATCCATTCAGAGATTAAACAATGTTTATAAATGAGGGTCCTGTTCTGCCAAGAGCGGGGCAGAACAAAATAGTTGTGTCCAGATCATCCATCTGTTCAGACCAACAGTTGCTGGGGTTCAGACCCAGTGCAAGTATATATGTGCATGTTTATCTTTTTGTCTGCCTGTGCGTGGAAGAGAGATGGAAAGCTGTAGCCTGCATCAGTGTTTACTTTGTACTGTATGTATCTTATCTCTGGCTGCCACCACGTCAGTCCGGGAAGAGAAGAAGGAAAGGGAGGTTGCAGCCACCACAGGAGACACCTCACAGGGAGTTAGCGTATTTCCCTGACAAAGCTGTTTTTTTAAAAACATCATACTACACACAAGCATTGACCACACTAGCTCAGTATATGAAAACGAAATGCAAACACATCCCATTGTCTACCAGTTTTTCTGAGAAAAACATCAAAAAGCTAAGTTACTGCATGCACTAGCAAAACTGCACAGGGCCTGAAGACAATCAGCACATGGAGTTGCATAACATGTTAATATGCTAAGCTCATCCTGACCCATCTGCATGGCATTATCTAAGCACTGGCCTTGTGGGATACTGTATCTCCGCTCTGCTTTCCCACTCATTCATTAATAAACACCAGCTGGCCTGCTTCACCATTGCTGTTATTTGATGCTTCAGTCAGACTCCAAACCGAAAGATCTACACTCACCGGAACTGATGATTTCAAAAGATGGAATGTTAGCTCAAACATATTCCTGTGATTTCATTCCAATTGCAGGCAACCACTGGAGACATAAATCATTTCATATTCTTGCTTTTGTTACAATTAATGGTCACCTTCATGAGTACTTCCAAAGACTTACCTTAAAATTGTACCAAAGTCATCTTTTAAACATCAAGGGAAACCCTTCAAGTTATATCCAACTTTGTTTTGGCCTGGAAACCTCTTTACCCTGACACATCAAGTCACGTTCCTTCTCCTACAACCTCAATTTTGTTCAGTGTCATGACAAATTGCCTTTTGATGTTCCCGCAGGTGGGTTCACAACTAAAATAATGTCAGTGTACAATCGTTTCTAAACCATAGTTATGGCCGTCAGTCACCTGCATTCTAACGTACACTCACATTTTATAACATATACAATGAGTTCAGGACAATAATATGTGCTTCTGTGGTTAAAAAAGTGCAATAGCAGACTGACATCTCTAGTAGTTAAACATGGCTTTATTTAACTTTTTTCTTTTCTGGCATTGTGCTGAAAACCTGTGTCTGCTCTTTGTGGCCGGTGTGATATTTAAACATTTTCAAGACTTACACTGTACTTTAATGCTATGTGTCAGTTTTATTCTCTTTAGCCCGACTGTAAGATGACAAGAAGAGTAGGGACCACAGTAAATCAGTGCAAAGGAAAACTAGACCATTTTGTAAAGGCAAAAAAGGTTGATGCAAATAGTTTCAGCCAGATGGAGAAAATCTTTCTTTCTAATAAGCCCCTCATAGCTACAGACCTTAGAGTACAGAGCAAATGGTAGATTAATGAATGGTGTGTTGCCTATTGTATGTCTACACAAAGAATTTCTTAAACTGTAATGTGTGGTGAGATAAATGCTTCTGCCATGCAGCAGACATGCTGTGTTTCCAGCTTGTGTTAAGCAGTGAGACTTCCTGACTGGGTGACACATCGTTCCCCTGTTCCCTGACCTCAGACTATCTGCAAACAACTCTGGCTCAGACTCAAAGTTCCATGAAAGCAAATGTGCAACATAGAAAATTGTGCACATGCAATATGTACAGTACACAGCGTGGGGCTGACAGACAGGCAGGGAGCGGCTGTGACAGGTGCAGATTTGCTTTAAAGCCCCATTAGAATTTATTCTTGCTGTCATCTGTACCCTAAACATAAGTGGAATAAATTTCAGCAGAAATAGTTTCAGCCTAGGAGTGAACTTCTTTTCTTCTTTAAATGAATCATCCACATTTCTGCCATAATATAGTTGTTTTTTTAATTAAGTACTCAGGGATCATCACATGTGGAGGGCAGATCTTAGTAAATGGTACCACACTGCCCAGCTCTCCTCTGCCCCTCAGCTTGAGTGAGGAATGATCATCATTAGTAAGACACAAAGCCCCAGTGCATGTTTGTGCGCAAGTGTTTTTGAGCATGTTTGTGTGCTCGTTCTTCATCTCTTTGTCTCCATGATGCAGTAAGTCAAAAGCTCATTCGTTCCTTCAACTCTGCTTCCTTGTATTCTCTTTCTCAAACCTATATCATCCTCTAAAGCCTAACCTCCACTTTGTCTCTCCCAGCATCTGCTCTCCAGAGAAGGAGTGACGGAAAAGGAACCTAATTTCTTACATCCCAGCAAACTGGCTGTGGAGGGGACAAATAATAGTTGGGACAGTTGGGCAGTTTTACTAAGTTTAATCTACTCATCAGGACACAATACTGTCAATTTATACTGTATACCTACAAATATAACTAAACCTGAATATAAATGATGGCAGTTTCTTGTTGTAATTGTAATTGTATTGTGATTCTGTGATTTTTATTCTAACATCCCCAAATGTCTTTTATCAAAATGAATAACTCCAAGGCAACTTGGACAAAAGCTTTGTATATGATGCTACATACAATATGAAGTTGTATTATAAATAAACATGTAAATATTTTGGTCCTTTGCACAGCTTTGCTACAGACACCAACCACATCACACCAACTACACGCTCTTAGGACATTTTTCCTTTATGTGACAGCAGATAAGAAACACCTCTTTTAGCTTATCACACTCTGCCTTTCATTCATTTTCTTCTAACTCACACACACACCCACACACTCAGAACGAGCCAAGTCAAGCATGTGTCTTAATGACTTTCTTCCTGCAGTGAGGGGGGGAGTTAATGATTTAATTTGTAATCACTCTGAGCTTCACAGCAAGGCCACCTTGACATGTCAGAGGCTTATTTGAACTCCATCCCAATATTTGCTTCTGAACCTGACTAAGCCCACACACACACACACACCAACACACACACTCTCACATACCATACCATAAGATTAAGCATTTCACTCTCTTCTACACTAGATTGGTCTTTTATCAATCAGTACAGTGATTTAAAACCAGGTAAGCCACTTCTACCTCCAAGGGCCCTCTTCCCTTGTCTGTCTCTCCATCTTCACCTCTCCCCTCCTTCCCTCTGTCACCTATTGACAAGATATTCTGTGTAACACAGAGGGTGCTGTTCCTCCAGCTGTCAGTCACTCTTGCCGAGAGCTCAAGCCGATTCTGAGTTACTTTCTCACACAGAGATATTAACTGACCGAGTCTTGTGCTACTCATTCCCGACTAAGCCAGAATCAGTTTTCTTATACAAAGGGATTATCGGGTCTGGCAACACTTGACTCCACCTAATAAAGCTGGAACTCATACCAGTGGATTGAACAACCTGATCTAAAATTGATCTGTGATTAAGTTATCACAGGCTGACAAAAAATCATCGATTCTTTCAAGATTTGTCTATTGGCAGTTAACATGGTCTCACATTAGCAGGAAATGTTTCGAAGGACTCTGAGACCAGGCTGGGGGTCTGGAAAAACTTTGTAAAATATACAATCCAATATCTGAGAAAACCTTGATTTTAGAATTACACTTTTTTTTGCAGGGGAATGACACTATTCACTCAATGAAACAGAAGAATAATCAGTAGACACTTGTCTACCAAATACTGTACTCATAGAGACTCATACA